GTACATATTATTCGGCTTATTTCTAATGCATCGTCTTTATTCCCAACTGATGAAAAATTAAACAGAATAAATATAAAATACTATCACGTACTGACAACCACCGTGACAACATATCTCTCTACTTTGAAAAACAGATAGTCATCATTATCTGTGAGATGATAATCACAGTAGCTACTAACTACAGCACAAGATTATAAAGCTCATCATACCCAGAAGTAATGGTGACATATGAACACCACGACTTGAATATAACGTGCGGGTCTGATGTACAAACAGCTACTAACGCTCACAACCGTACAGTAATGTACAGTATATACATAATTTGTGCAAACCAACACTTATGAACAATGACTTTGAAAAAGTATTTATGGTAATGCAAGAACGTTTTTTTTTTTTTGTTTCATGTACCTCACTCACAAAAATGTAAATATTTTTCTAAGGTTGATTTATATGGTGATTCCAAAAATGTGATTCTTTCTTTGGAGAAATGAACAGCTAAAAAATTATAACCCTTTAAACTTCTGTATTGCCCTTTAAATGTTTAATGTTCCACACTGAAATGTTACAATGTGGGCTAAAATACTATAAAACAACACCAAACAAACCTTTGAAAAGCTAACCTTTCCTAACCTATAAAAATGTTTAAAAATCGCGTAATATTGCAGTAAACAGCAACAACAGAATGCCGGAAATTCACTACACTCAATCGATAGAACTATTTTTTCTATGATCATTTTCTTACATTACACTTCCATAGCAAATTGATAATAAAGAATGTAATAAATACTGTAACGGCTATTTATATTCTCGTGGAGGCTGATCACGCGACTCTGGGTTTTCACAGAGCGTCTGGGAGTTGGGGGCAAAGCCCCCGGCTAGGGTCACCAGCTAGGGGGTTAGGTAAGGTTTAGACTGGTTATAATGTATAAGTTAGCAAGCACAGAGTACTGGGAATTCAGAACCTGCAATCAATAGAACTATTATTTCTACTATTTTTTTGTAAATAAAATAATTTCTGTTGAGTAATGTGTTCACATGTTTTCTTGTTGCGATTTAGACAATTTGGGAATTCGTTTCTACCACAAATCACTCGTTTTGGCTCACCCCGCCCAGAACCCTGAATTCCCATGCTTTCCCCCATTATTGTTAGAAGGGGGGAGAAGGAGGGGGGAGGGGGCTAAATCCAAAACGAGTAATTCCCGATAAAAACGAATGTCAGATTTAAACCAATGGCATCAAAAACCACCAGATAAACATTTTTTTATCAGATTCTTTGGTTGCTGTAATCTGCAGTTTTACCAAAAATCGCTTTCCAAAATAGGTTAAATCTCAGCCACAATTACAAGGGCATCAGAGCATCTCGAGTGGATGAAAAAAACCCACAAAACATCACAACTGTTTGATGTATCAAGAATAAAACACTGACAATGGACAAGAAAATAAAATACTACTTCTTAACCTGTATCAACCAAGGTTCACTGATGGTTTGTTTCCATTACCTACCTGCTACTCTAACCAATATATAACAGATGTCAGGTCTAGCTACTTACAGTTATTTCAAACAACTTTACAGCAAAATTGCGATATGTATTGAATGAAGTCAGATAAAATAGTCAAGATTCAGGTAAAGAACAAAGATCTTCAACACCTAAAATAATGTCCAGAGGGAAGGTCTTCATTTTTCTTCCAACAGCATAAATGTGTAATTACATATAAATTCGTCTTCATTCTTCTGAACAACTAACTATTCAGACCTAAGATAACATACACTTAGTCTTTGTATTTCTCATTGTCAAAATCTTTTACCCCAGAACATGAAAAATCCAAAGACTTAAAAATTATAAGTTGTTTAAACACTTACCTTATCGGTTGATGCTTGATTATAAACGATATAAGGAAATATCAATGGTAATCCTAGGGTCTGTTAAGCGGAACAACAAATTAAACACCAAGTTCACCACAGTCCCGCACACCCTCACACGACGAAGGACAACAAATGACTGCAGAGATAAACATAAACTATAAAACCTTCTCCAACAGAATATCAAAACAATCGAAGTTAAACAAAAGACAATCGTTTTAGAGAATCCAAGTATCTTTATTGGTTATGTCTATAAAGTAATAAGATACTGAATACTATAAATACTATCGAATGTTTTTATTTTGTCAGCTACTGAAAGACATTTAATAGCATGTATTTGAATTTGAAGAATACATTTAATTTTTAATATTATTTTTTACATGCTTTATTTTAATCATACACATAGATGATATGTCGAGAATTCAGTACGGCACTCGACAGTCTTTACGTAACCTTTACATATTATCAACTTATTGTTATATGTCTTTAATGGCATGTATATTCGGGCTAACTTTATTTTAATTTAATTTAAGTTAAGATAATGTGATCATTTAAACAATATTTCCTTTAATATATCATGTATGTAACTGTGTTGGCATGTCATTCAAGAAGGCTCAATTTGCAAATAAGGATATATTTATAAGGTTATTTGTGATATATCTATGAAATCAAAATTAATATTAATATGTATTGAAACCAAATTTGATAAATTATGATAAAACTCGTAACAATTTTACATATTTCCTGGTAGTCTAGACTGAAGGGTCCCTGTGGGCTGGTGTACACAACTAATGTCTTGAGACAGTGGTGTGGGCTGTGGGGATGACTGACAGGTACACAAGAGTTAGTATTCCGTAGTGACCATGCTAGGAACTTTATATTGATTCTTATATTAGGAAATAAAGCACAAATAAGAATACTCGGAAATATATAGTTTTCCGAGTTATTTTTGCTTCTATTTCAGGTTTGATTTCTTTAGTTTTATTTTCTTGTTGTGATAGGTTAAGTGTGGGACACACGCCCCACAAGGGGTCACAACTCGAGGGTGAAGAAGCCACAAGCCCAGACAACTGTGAGGGGTAACTTTTTTGGAGTGAGAGGTGTGAACTCTTGGAACAATCTACCAGAAAGTGTTGTGACGGCACCGAGTGTGAGCTCTTTCAAGACCAGACTTGACCAACACTGGAGCAGGTTCAAGTACATTCAGGAGCCGGTGCATGCCCAGTACTTGCCAACAGTTCATGACAGAGACGCGACCGATCGCCCAAGCGGCTAACGAGCCGATCAGTGGTGAAGAGGATAAAAGTAAAAGTAAAAAAGTTACCCCACAATTTGATTCTACTTCATCTATAGTAAAGCACCGGTCTTTCTCTCGCTGTTATTAATATGTATTTTGTAATGCTTAGACATTTCCAAGCCATTTATCTTCTATGAAATTTTCCCCGGAAATTAAGGATAACCGAGATATTAATTTTCCAATATTGTATTATTATATTTGGTCAGTCTCAAGTCTCTGACCCCCCCTCAGCCAGTGCTCCGTTACCTCTGTGTTCGCTTCTTAAACATCTTCAGAGCGTGTGCGGGGGTAGCTGGGAGTTCCTTATTGGCTATAGCGAGAGGAGATTTATTATTAGGCAAGGTATTTTTTGTGTAAGCCAATGAACAATGCGTGGGTGCGTTGGGAGCGAAGATTTGAATTTTCAGTACCAGACAAGGCTGAACAGGTTGAAGAGCTGTGCCGACATTGTGATAGAGATTATTTTACGCCAATTGCCGAGTTCCCCGCCTGTACCCTCCTCGAAGTGACCGAGCACTACTTCAAATAAATTCAAACAGTGACGACCCAGATTAACCTGATTCTTCTTCAGATTAAGTAAACAAAGGGGGGTCTAGGGGTTGGAGCCCCCTAGTTAGGTTATGTTTGGTTGTGTGGTTGGTTTTTATTGTTTTTATTATTTTTTTTTTACACACAAGGGATAGGTTCAGTTAGGTTACATTTCTTTCTGTATTAGAAATATGTTTTTTCCTCTGGATTTTAATAAGTTTTGAACGATTTTTCCCGTGTTCTTTATTGGATATCACCTGTTTCTGTGATTTACTCCCAAAAAACTCTAATTTTCCAACATCTTTCTGTAAGATTGTTGGGGGGGGTGTATAGTATCTCAAAAACGAGTGATTTCCAGCGGAAATGAATTTCAAGTTCATTTGAAACTCATCAAAAACCACAGGAAAAACATATTTTTAATATCCAAAGAAAGAACTGTGCTTTTCTATAAATTACCCAAATTGCATTTCTTTAAGTGAAGTCAAAAAGTAAAATAAAGTAAATGGAAATTTTGACAAATATGCTTGAGTAAATTATTCCTATTTTTCGTGGTAATATTGCAGTAAACAGCAACTACAGTACAGAATTTTGGAAATTCACTACACTCAATCGATAGAACTATTTTTTCTATGATAATTTTCTTATTACACTTCCGTAGCAAATTGATAAGGCAGTTATTGAATTTTAAAAAGAATAAAATCAGAGTACCTGTTATATTCTTGTGGTGGCTGACCTCAAGACTGTATTATTACATAGCGTCTCGGGGTCCGGGGCAAAATCCCTCGGCTAGGGGGTTTGGATAAGGTTTAGTTTGGTTATATTGTATAAGTTGGCAAGCACAGAGTACCAGAAATTCAGAACCCGCAATCAATAGAACTTTTATTTCTACTATTTTTTCGTAAATAAAAGAATTTAAGCATAATGTGTTCAGATGTTTTCTTGTTGCGATTTGGAAAATTTGGGAATTTGTTTCTTCCACAAATCACTCGTTTTGGCTCTCCCCGCCCAGAACCCTGAATTCCCATGCTTTCCCCCGTTATTGTTAGAAGGGGGGGGGGGAGGGGGGCTAAATCCAAAACGAGTGATTTCCGATAAAAACGAATGTCAGATATGAACCAATCGCATCAAAAATCATCAGAAAAACACTTTTTTATATCAGACTCTTTGGTTGCTGTAATCTGCAATTTTAGCTTTTTCGTTTTGGTAGTACCCCTTGTATTATCGTTTTGGTCATCCTTATATTTTTCTGATGGTTTTTGAATGATTTTGATCTTACCTAACCTAACCAAGCCACAAACTCAGGAACTATATCTAACCTAACCTATACGTATTCATAAGTTTCCCCGGATGACCAAAACGATAATAATACTTAAGTTTTTTGCTCCATCTCCTAATATACAAATCAATATAAAGTTCCACACATGGTCACTACAGAACATTTATCAAAAGGTGTTGTGTCAGGTAAATTGTAACGATTTAGGAGTTCAAAATAAGCTACTCCTTACTAGAGCAATGAAGTGATTTTCTGTATTACTAATCAACTGTGAAACAGACTCCACAGTGACGTAATTTAATAAATTCTCAAGACTAATATTTTTGTTTCTATTTGTGGTCTTATGACTTTAATATTTTACGTTACATCCTCCTCTGCATTTCGTATTATTGGTAACTTTGTATTTAGCAGGCATAAAATCACCTAGATAAGGTAATACTTGATAAGAGTGGTCAGGATTATTATTCGTTGTAGGACTGCCCACGATTTAATACTTAGTATATTTATTTTTGCATTAAAAAAAATATATTGATTCTATGGTATTATTTTTTGCCCAATGTTTCTTTTCTGAGGTTACTCTCTATCTTCTCATACAATAAACACCCCAACAAAGTGGTTAATGCTTTAAAGATGAGAGAAATTGTGGGGTAGAAATGACTTGGGATTTCTCCTTAATTTTCAGTCATTTAAGGTAAGAAAAATTGAGTGAAATCAGCTTCCTAGGTTATGTTTGGTTGGGTTGGTAAGGTTTATATGAATTTCACACCCATTTCATGGGTTCAAGTTGACTCGTAAGGAATGAATTGTATCTCCCTTTTCGTCAGTTTGCCAAAAGAAAACAAAGTACAGTGAACCCTCACTTTACGCAGTCAATTGAACCCACGGCGGCCCGCGTAAAGTGAGAAACGCGCAAAGTGAACAACATAACATATGGGATTAATTGAAATAGAGACCGGGCCGACCCCCAAACTCCACTTTTTCAGACACAATACCTATGTTGTAGTAAAAATAACATCTTAATTTTATGATGGTATGCACACACAATTAATAATTAAGAGAAATATCAATAATATTAGGTTTTTTAACACTTACATTAGTAGAAAAGATGGATGGGCAGTTGGGCACACGGGGATGTGGGGTTGGTTCCGAGGCAGAGGGCAGATTATTGGCCCTCACCTGTATCACTTGTATCAATTGTATCACTACCCACCACAGAGGCTTGCAGGGCGTCTTTGTCAAACCCTTCAAAGTCCATATAAGTCCATATCCTCACTATCATTATCACTATCACTGACTTGAGCCGGCTGTGGTGGGTGGCGGGTGAAGAACTCGGTAATGTTTTGATGACTGGGCGACCTTGTGTGCACCCTGCTCGCGCCGCTCTCCGCGTAAAAGGGTACACACACCGCGGAAAGTGAGCATGCCGTGTTCGGCAGGGTACCGCGTAAACGTGGAAACGCGTAAAGTGGGACCGCGTAAAGTGATGGTTGACTGTACTGTATAGGAAAATATCATTGCCTTATTTCATTGTTTGAACCTTGGTTATTAGTTGTAAGCATTCATGGCAGCCCAAGTAGATTTTATTGTAAATGTAGTTTACAGTTTAGTTTTAAATATTTTACACTGTACTAACTTTTGTTGTGGAAGTTTTAAACCATTTACAGTACACTAACTTGAACCATGATGACTTTTTGCAATAAGACCAAAGGAAAAAATTACTCTGTAAACTAAAATAATATATGCCCTCTGGTTACTTTGGTATGTTGATATCATATGAATGTATCTAAATGATTAATGCAGTTGAAAATTATTATTGTAACCAAAGAGAATATTAATCTCTTTATAATATAAGAGCTTATTTTGTAACTGTCTTGTTTTGCCTACCTTCCAGATGACCAGTGCTAAGGGTACATTTGAGTCATGTCAGGGTCCAAGTTTGATAGACCTGCTCGTAAACTTCATGCACGAGATGTTCTGAGGTTGCAATTTGAAGGTAATTCTCACGGTCTTATTGTTTGAATTTAATCTGAAAATAAGATTTAATGGTGACTTGCGTATCATCAACAAACGACCCATGAGATTCAAACTGCTCAACACACTTAAACTATAATGCTTTTGATGCTGGATACAAGGGCTTAAATGTTGTATTGTATTGTAAAAAAATGAAGAGTAATAAAAACCGAGACATTTTCAATACTGTTTAGGTTTTCTGGCGTTTTTGTATTTTGCCTGTTACCGAGTTTTTCAATGGGGCACATCATAAACAGTTTGAGATACTGTACAGGTATTATGCTTTTAATGGATTTGTTATTTGGTTTTGTCAGAGAATATGCTAAACTTATCCATTCAACATTTCATTCTTTCCAGTGACATCACATCAATTTCTGGGATATTACACATCAGCGTTCCCACACTCAAAATACAATACTGTACAGTGGTCCCTCGGTTAACGAACGCTTCGGTTAACGAACTGCCTCCCATAAGATTCTTAAATTCGGTTAACGAATTTCTTACGAACCGACCTCAACATGTTTTCGCTTGCACTGGCCGGTCAACCAGCTTTAGTATTAGTCCGCCAATACATTAATCGGTTCTAGGGCTTAAATTCCTTACTATATTAGTAAATATCAAGAAGTTTATACTATTCAATAATTTTAAAAGTTTAATATTCAATTTTTTAGTCATTTTAACAATTATTGAACATAATTGAAGGTAAAGTGACTAGTTTAATGTGCGGCATCCAGCCTCTTAACACAGCAAACAGGCGTTAGTCTCTCTCTCTTTTCACTGGAGGTAACATCTTGCTTGAGACTCTCTTCAACTAAATGCTTTTTTCTGTGTTTCCAAGCAAATTATTGGTCATTTTGAAATATATTTTACATATTGACAATATATAATGCAGTGCAGTGTTGATTTAAAGAAAATAATCTTGAAATACACCAAGAGAACTAAAATTTTATGGGTGAAATGGTGCCATGGGGTGACTTCTCTTCCACCCCAATGCCTTCTCTTCTTCCTTCTCCTCCACCCCCATTCTAATTCCCATCATCATCATCATCATCATCCAGGGGCCTTCTACATACACACCTCAAAGTAAGTGAACTTTTCTACCATTTTTGTTGAATTTAGGCAATTTTCGGTAAGCTGGAACCAATTACCCAAAAACCCATTGAAACAATGGTTTCGGTTAACGAATTTTTCGGTTAACGAACAACCTGCTGGAACGGATTGTGTTCGTTAACCGAGGGACCACTGTATTTTGATTCAGCGTCTTGCCACTGCTTCATGTAATCCTGTGATAACTGAAACACTACATGTATATAACTGTGACCCATTTTCTCAGCATTGAACTCGGTAAGAATCAAATTTCATCCAATAAATAAATATCGTATTTGGTCCTTTGAATTTAAATTTGTATTGATATGCATGGTGTAATATAAAGTTTCCATATTGGGCATTAATATGTCTTATGTCTTAGAAACAATATTTGATGGTAGGAAAACAATAAATATGAGTAAAAAATTTGGTTTCCTCATTTTATCTCATGAAAATTAGCCAAAATAATATCAAATTTTGTTGAGACTGCTTAAACACCATTATAATGGCATTAGAAGCAAAACTTCTGTGCAGTATTAAAAAAAATACCTTTTTATCCTCTTTTGTCTGTACATAATCTGACACTGAACTTGACTACTGCAGGATGCAAATAACTGTCTTAGGTGTCAGTGACTTATGTATCATTCACAATGATAAATCACTTGAAATTGTCACACAAAACCCGGGGTAAAGGGACGCTCGCAGCCAACACCTGTTAACATTGCCATAAACAATCCTCTGACATAAAAAGTGTACCATTTATTATGATATCGTGCTTTTATTTATGTATCATAATACTGTATGATTCTGTTGTTGCAGTAAAAGGATTAATACTGTTCAGTACTGTACAGTATGTTGTTTTTAGTTTGTCTTCATAAACTGACCAGGTCTGGTACAAGAAGCCATGAAATGCCTGTGTTAGTACCTCACCATCTTCTGATGCTACAATAAAATTATTAAACAAAAAAATCTTCAGATTTTCATAAACTGGATCTTTGTAAATCAAGAACTGCCTTTAGTTTGGTTTATTTAAGTGGACTGGTCATATAAAAGAATTTTTTTTGCAGGAGATGAATTGAAGTTTTGCGAAGATGGAATCTCCGTTAGTGTGCCTCTGTTGTGGATTCAGGGACACGTGGTATCATACAATGAGGATAAAAGTGAGGTGGGTCTTATAAGTAGCACTTTCAACTACCTTCTCACTCTCACCAACTCACATGAATACACATGCATGATCACACTATCTACAGACACAAATGAAGCTTAATAATAAAATAGTAAATCTTTTATGAAAAAATTGTACCATATATTGTATTGGTAACATTAAACATGATTCTTATATGTACTGTACTTTATAAAGAGATTAATTCATATGTTCTCTAATTGCAGGTGATCCTAGAAGATGAAGGCTTTATGATTAAAATCACCAACTGTCAAAATAATCCCTGTGGAAGCTCATGGATATCAGAAGGTTTGTACTGCACTGCATTAAGAAAATATTATCTGAGTGAAAATGTAGTAGTTTGGTATTGAAGAGACCAGCAAGTTGGACAAAAAATTCATAATAATGATAGAACTTTAGACCATGAAGATTCTTGACAAGCCTCCCTGAACTTTGGTGGTAAATAATACAACAAGTTATTAGAATCGAACATACAGGTCATTTGTTCCTGAAAATGCGGTCGAACGTTGAACTATCAAACTAATTTCCCCCCTAAGAAATAATGTACTGTAATTACAAATGGTACGTTCTTGACCCCCCAGATATGGTACGAATACACAATTATTACTGTATAGAAAATATTTATATGGTACTCACCAGACATCTGTGACATGGCTTAAAGGGGCTGGAGACTGCCAAGGTGAAGGTCTTTCTGCTTGACCTAAGTCTAGATATTGTTGTATCAAATTTTATCTTTTTTTTTGGGGGGCACAACATAATCACACTTTCTCTTATTACTGGCCATGATGAATACAGTGGATGACTTAGAATTGTGGCAGAAAATTTGCATTATAAAAGTCAATGTAGTACACTGCCAGTGTAAACAACTACCCTGTACTGGTGTTCCCGGAATCAGATTAAAAACAACTCTGCAGACGAATACAAATGAGCCTAGTACAGTACCTCGACCGGGTAACAAACCATTGAATTGGTGAATTTGCCCTGTCGAAACTAGGACACTAGGTAGTAATATTATTGATAAATGTTCGAAGAAGCGAGTTGGAATAACCTCAAACAGTCAAATCTCGGGACTTCCTTGTATATAAAAATATATTGGATGATTTATGAAAGCTGTAATTGTATAAGCCAGTGGCAAATTTAACTTAGATGAAAGTGATTTCTGTTCTGCAAGGCAAATGACTGCAAAACTAGGAAATTAGAATAGGGCAAATATTGTAGGAAAGTAAGAGGTTGTTGGCAGAAATGGAGTTGTCATTTTTTGGAAAGAAATATTCCATGGAAAAACGTTTTTTAGTATACAGTATAACCAGGTACCGTGTTCTGTATGTATTTTTTTCATCCAGAAAATCACATCTCTCTAACCCCCTTCCCCCACTTGGTTTAAATTAATGAAATTGTATTGTACAGTAATCAAGATTAATATTGAGGCTTTACCCTACCTACTTACTCACTGTTTATTGGCTAAATTAGTATAGTCTGTATAATGTACTGTATGCTGTATTTATCTCTTCAGGTCAATATGTAATGGTAGTTGGGGAAATTAACAAAGTTGCTGGTGACAAAGTAGTGCAGACAGTCAAGATGTCTGACCTTTCTGCCAGTGAAATCCACCAAGCTACCTGGAGCTATGAAGTTGCAGAATTTAAAATGTTAATGAAAGAAAATCCAAGCATATTTGAATGATGTACTGTACATTTAATGGAATGATAAAACCAAAGAATTAATCATGTTACTGTTTAAAAATTTATTTTTAAAATCTCTGATTACTAACTAATTTTTATAAAAGAATGATGAAATAGAAAGTAAGAGTTTCATTTACAGTACTATTTTTTATGAAGTTATTTAAGATTGGTAAATCACACGACAGGAGCAACACCCACTTCTGTGCATGGTGTTCCCAGGGTGGCTGATATCAAGCATAACACAGGAGCCCATCATACAAAAGTGCTGTCGCATAAATCTTCAGCTAAGGTGTTCCCCTTCTGTGGCAGGGTCCCAAGAATTTCATCTGGATTACCTTGAGCATATAGGAAATTCAGAAGGACTGACAATTACCAATGAGAAAAATAAATGCAAGCAATAAAAAAATTTTCTGCTTCGGTAAAATGTACGTACAGTGGGGTATGCTATAACGAACGGATCCTACTACGAATATTCCTATAACGAACGGTTTTACCTATAAAATTGAGAATGCTATGCACTTTTTTACAATTTTTACAATTTTATATTATATTTTTCAGTGTTAAGTGATTGTATTTAGGGGCCTGGAACGGATTAATCCTATAACGAACGAATGCTATAACGAATAAGGTTCTAGAACCAATTGGATTCGTTATAGCATACCCCACTGTATAAGGATTTTTTTATTCCCCTAAAACCAAACATTTACGCTGACATTTCATAGCAGTATTTTTTTCTTTTGCATATGGGTTGAAATTTTATATGGAATAGTTAACAAATTCTGAATATTTACATTTATCTTTTGTTTTAATTTACGGTAAATACATACAGTATCACAAATTCACCAAATATAATTTAAAAAAATTAATGAACACCACAGGAAGCCTCTTGCCGTCTTATAAAGGTTCTTACGTGATATAAATTACGTCAAATCATTGGGTAGCAGTTCGCCTCAGTGATGTGAATCGCATCAATAAAGGTTAACCCCCCCCCCGCAAAAAAAAAAATAAGATAGAGTAATTGTGTCAAATTTTTTTCCATCATAGATAAATGCATAATCATGTGAGAGAAGCTTCCAGAAAGTGCCAAAGCGTGGGTGGTGTTTTGCTGTCCATCAGTTTTCTCCTGTGAGCCGTGCTGGTAAGTCACATTTGTCTCTTTATCTCCCACCCTTCCCACAATTAATCGTATAAAAATCCCAAAACCACCGGTGGAAACCTCATAAAATTCTGCTTCTGTAACTATGATAATGTCTTGGTAAGTTTGTGAGAAAATAACGGAGATATGTTACTGGGAATAAAAAAAAAATCTATATTCGGAGTGAAAAAATATACATTTTTCTTATTCTCGTCTCTTCTATTTATGTTAAATTCAAAACAGTAAAAGAAATCACCGATGTATAAATCGTGCAAAAAAAACAAAACATACTTTCTTAAGGGATAAATTGGCCATAGAATGAAGATGACCAGGTCTCACGTGAGTGGTCGCATATGACTTTTGTTGTGGTCATGGAAAATTAAAAAAATTATTGCATGTGTGAGATGGTTAATTATGCCAACCACACCACTGGAAGGAAATTGTGCTGATAATACAAGTCTATGCATAAATTTTTTACTATTTGGAGAAGTTCTGAGTAAATCCAGTATTTCTAGGAGTGCTATTGTGTTTGTGAGATCTGGATGTGAAAAGGATAAGTGAAATCAAAGTCTTAGAAAATTACGAAGTCCTTAAATTATGGAAAAAAAAAGAAGAATCATGAAAATGATCAAATAGAATTCAAGCAAAATTCTTTGTTGCTAGTTGTAATATATGAGAAGTTAAGTTTTCACCTGTTCATTGTCTGCATCAACTCTACATCACATTTAGGGTCATGGAATGTTTTTAATGTCTCGGCATATCATGCGACCCTTCCTTGCCAGCTAAGATGGCACTTGGAAGTTCTGCGTGTAATGACCTGTTCCCCACTCTGTGTATGTAAGTTGGCAATAGGAAGAACATCCATGGCAACCACGAAATCATGCCATCAGGTCATCGTGGCTAACTCACACAGGCGTGGAAAATGGCTATAAAACAATGATGTTAATGTATTTACCGGTACTACAGTATTAACATACAGTATAAAAACATAATTCGTACTCCCTTAATTCGAAGTCACTCATAATTTATGATGTTTTGCCGTTACGAAATGTTACAAATTTTGTAAATTTGGTAAATCTTAAAATTATGAGACATTTACGAATACTGTATATACTATTGACATGTTGCTATGGGACACCACCACCTGCCTCAGTGTAAACAAGTATATGTGTGGTAGACAGTCAGGGTGTACTGTGCAAGCTTTTTCCATCATTGCCCAGTGTTTGAGCCATTAGGTCTGATAATCCTAAATCTGGTATTGTACTGAGAAATGTTTAAATTATTTGGGGGGCAGATAATGGACTAATACTATTGTTTTGGTTGTTTCTCCCTTGGGAGGTGTCCTTCATAATCATAAAGGCTACAGCCCCTATTATTTTCAATCGTGGGGGGTCTTACTGTAACGACCTCCTGCTGTTAATTTGGGACAAATGTCGATTCAACTTTAAAATCATTGTGGATAATAATTAATGTAAAGATGCTATCTTTTGTAATGTGTAACCTAAGAAATCATATACGGTACCTATACTGTAGTACGATGGTTCTCAAAAATGAATTTTGAGACCTGAAATGTAAACATACAAAATACTTAAATTTGGGATGTTTAAAAAAGATGGCATCTTAAAAATATGTTGAACATTTATTTCATTTTAAATCACACACATACGAACATATACAGTACAGTAGTATAAAGGAAATTTTACCATACAGGCTGGGAATGAACGAGTCCCAGACACAGTGCAGTAAAGGTTATTGGTACAAAAGTCATGATTTAGTATGTCACTGTAGTTGCAGGATCATAACCTTGCAATCCACCTGGTTTGTACTAAGCAGTATTACAGTACAGTAATTCACTTATACTGTATACATGTTTTACATACTGTATATCATAAAATACATAAGCTGTTGTAGACTACAGGGTGCACATGGCTGTCAGTGGGACTATTCTTATTATTCCACAAAATTCATTAAACCACAACAGGTTTAGTCCCAGGCATTGTGAAATACAGTACTGAGACTACTGTACTGTATTCCTCTAACATACTGCATATGGTTGCAGTTTCAAAACCTTCCTTTAGCACACCGAATAGTTTCTGAACAGGTTTAAATCAGTTAATATACGAAAACCCTCAACCTTATTATTTTTTCAAATCTTCTGTATTTATACCATACTTTGTTTTTACACGATCAAGCTCTGCTTGCTTCTTTTCTGCATCCATTTTCTTAAAAGCCTTGTTGGACTGTAAAAAAGAGAAGCATTTATTATTTTTACTAGTATGTCTTCCAGTTAAATACTGTACTCTCCTCATGCCCAAAACATCTCTACCTGCCTCTCTACATAAATTCACCAGTACTGTACAGTACTCTTAATACCCAGCCACCCTCTAAGCTCTAAACAGGGCCTCCTGTCTTTCAGTGTCACATTACACATCCACCTCACCATACTCATTTAAGCTCACTCAAGCCAATGTATGTTATTGTCTTTAACTCCCCATTTTTCACTGCCATAAAACATCACACTTCTTACATCAGCCACATCCATTCTTCTTTCACGCTGAGGGAAGGTTATCTTCCCATCAATAAAGACAAAAACTCCCTGAACTTCCTCTCGCCACTTCTGACTCTTGCAAATGAGAAGGCTTCAGCACCCCCCACAGGCACTTATCATGTCACCCAGGTTACAGATCTTATTGACACAGTTCAGCAAAATATCCCCATTGTTGTGTTTTTTACCCTTACTATGGACACATAGTTACCTGTCTATATAGAACATTTAGAGTCAGCAAAATTTTTTTTAGTCTACCACCTACTCCACTGCATCTCTTGTGCAGGCACCTTCCACACACATTTCACATTATTGAGTTGCTGCCAACAGCTTTCCTAGACAGCACATGGTCATTTCCCACTTTCCATCATGGGTTCCTCACCCACGCCGATAATCAATATTTATGTTTTCGCCATATTCACTCTCAGGCCCTTTGATCCTATTCCATCCTTCCAACATCTTAAATTTCTCCACTACCTCTTCAAAACTATCTGCTACCAGAACTAATTCATGAGCATAAAATAACTCCCAGAACAGATCAGTCCTTAAGTTCCTTGATATGACCTTCAGCACCATGTAATTATGACAACTACTACTTTTTTTAATATATGTAAACTGATGAGATGCTGTATGTGTTTGGTTATGGATTATCACCACAATATTCAACAGTGAAGCTACACTTACCTGGTAGTACAGAACCACTAAATATCTCCCACACACATTGAAGCCAGAAAGATGATCACAAGCATTTTTAGCATCAAAGATATCTTCAAATACCACAAATGCTGTGCCACGTGTCTCAGGAGTGTTGCCTCTGTACAAAAAATAAACTAATTAACTTAAAGTAAAAGTAGGTCACACAAGACATACAGTTTAGGGTAGTCAGCTTTAAAAATCACATTCTATGAATCAGAATTTGTTTGTATATACAATACTATATTGTTCTGTCTATAGTACTTATTTACAAATTATATATTCTTCAATTTTTATGTAAAACAGTAAAAATCATCATACAACCAAAGCATATACGTACTGTACTGTAGTGTGTACAAACAATATTCTTTAATAACCCTTTCTGTCAGGGTTAAAAAGTTTTAGTCTTAGGGTTTCCTTTACTTATCATTTCTATTTTTTTCTTCAAATAATTACTGTTCTTACCGTAAATACTCGTGTGTAGTTCGAGTTTTTAATACCAAATTTTTAGGCAAAAAATTGGGGGTCGACCTCTGCATGGGTAATAGTTTTGTTAGGTTGAATCCGTGCATGATGGGAAGGGCGAGGAGCAACTTTTAGCTTCAGACATGAAAAATATTTCCCAGTTACTGCCAGTAAACAATGGAAACGTAAAATATGTACCAATTAGTAATGAAAAGCTGTGCAGTGCCTTCAGCAGATGAAGCTCACCAACTTACAATAGGCTAACTTACCTTACAACATGCTTTCAGTAGTCTGTGTTAAAGTTCTTAGCACAGGCTAACTTATCATATCATATATGGTATCACAGTACTCATTGATCTACAAAAAATACCGGTAATAAAAACCTTTTCAATATTTCACACTTAATAAAGAACATAAGAAAATAAGGAGTCTGCAATAGGCCGGTTGGCCTGTGCATGGCAGCTCATGTCGAGAGTTACTACCACTCTCTATCATCCATGAATCTATCCAGCCTCCTTTTGAAACTTTCCAGTGTTCCAGCACTTACTACAAAGTTGCTAAGCTTGTTCCACTCATCCACCACCCTATTTGTGAACCAGTTCCTTCCTATCTCCATCCTAAACCTAAACTTATCCAACTTAAATCCGTTGCTCCAAGTCCTATCCTGCTCGGATATTATAAGAACTTTATCTATATCCCCTTTATTGATTCCCTTCACCCACTTAAATACTTCTATCATATCTCCCTGCACTCTTCGTCTTTTTAGGGAATGTAAGTTTACCGGTAGTTTCTTTAACCTATCCTGATATGGAAGGTTTCCGAGTCCCTGAATCATTTTCGTCATTCTTCGCTGCACCGACTCTAGTGAATTGATATCCATTCTATAATAAGGGCACCAGAACTGAACCGCATAATCGAGGTGCGGCCTGACTAGCGCAAGATATAGTTGCAATAAGACCTCTGCACTCTTATTACTTACACTTCTAGATATAAAACCCAATACTCTGTTGAGTATCAGCTAGACGGTACACGTATTTTTTTAATCGTTTTCAGTTAAAAAACTGTTACAACACACGTATATTTTATCTTAACTGCGCCTGAATGAATATATTCTCGGAAATAAATAGTTGTTTTGCTGAAACGTGATGTATTTCAATGTAAAATAGGATAAAATACATGACGAAAACAAAAGACTTTACCTAACCTTCCGATGTTCAAGAGATTTTACTCGTTTTTTTTTTAAGTTTTCGGTTAAAATACTGTTATATTACAATGATATTCTGTTCATACTGTGCTTGATATAATACACTCACGGAAATGTAATATTTTTGCTGAAATGACGTAGGTATTACAGTGGAAAGTGGGATAAAATCATGACGAAAACAATCGACTTTCGCTTCTTTCGTTGTTCAAAAGATGTTACCGTAATCGCTTTTCGAATGGTTTTCAGTTAAAAAAAATGCTTATTACAATAATATTCCATCCTAATTGACTTGAATAAATATTTGAATGGAAATATACAATATTTTGCTGAAACTACCCGCGTTTCAGTGTGAAGTGTCGTAATAATGGTAAACAATTTGCCTTCGGAGCTCGGTGTTTCAGGCACGGCGACCCTCAGTTTATAGGACGTAGTGTGTTTTTAGTGAAGGTTTTGCTGTTCCATTACCCTCAAAAACTTGGGTCCACCTATAAACGAAGCATATCATAAATTAATGATTTCTTGGTCAAAAAATCAGGGTCGACCTATAAACGAGGTAGAATTATAGACGAGTATACACGGTACTTACCAGACAAAGAAGAAAGTTCACCTAATAGCATACAGGCTGTCCTCACCTTACTCTAAAAGGTAAATGTTTCATAGAAATGGTGTATAATGCTAAAATATATTATGGAAGCCTGTTTTCCATTGTACTGTATATTTGGCATACAATTACCTATACAGTAGTTATTGATAACTCAATTTTGGACTTACCAGGCAGTCCCCAAGTTACGACTGTCCGATTTACGAACACCTGCACTTACAGATGGGATCCCAATACATTCATCACCAAAATTTGTATTTAAAATCCCATTTTTCACATAAATTTCATCATTCTCTATTGTTTAACATCAATTTATTTACAGTATTTACATTATGAATTATGTATGGGATATTATTGATGTTTTGTTTGGGCAGGGTTGTGCTCTAACCTAACCTATAGAATTAACACCGTTCTGACTTACGAACAAATAGACTTATGATCAGGGTTCATGAACGTACGCCTGTATAAAATACATAACATAATCAAAATAAAATTTAAAACAAAGTACTACAGTATAATACTCACACTCTGATTTGTCTAATGGCTCCATATTTTCCAAATATGTCATACATCTCCTCCCCAGTGATCTTGTAGGGTAAATTGCGTACATACAAGATGCGATTCACTTCTGGAGGCAGCCGGACCTAATGAACACCAGGATTAGAAAAGTGTATAAAAATCAGTGAACAGTTTATAAATGTTAACTTAGATAATAAAGTGTATTGTTACCCATTGAAATTACTGTTCATAATTAATTATGAGATAGGTGGATGGAGAACTTATTTTGTGAGTTAGTGAGTAAACTAGAGAAAGATGATGGCATTTAAAGAATTGACAGAACCTTATCATAGTCACTGGACTTTGTTGATAAAGGATATAACCACTTCCTAAAAAAATAAACTTACACTTACTTAGAACCACATGTCAAATTTTCATATTGTCTAACATTTTTTTTTTAGTTTAACAAATTTATTGACAAAGCTTGCCTGTTCTGAGTAATTCAGTCAGGTCATGACACAGAAGGTGGTATCACTTCTCACTGCCATGCAGGACAGAGGTTCATACACAAAGAAATACATCATATTCATTGACACTACATATAGTCAGATTCATGTGGGTAATGTCACTGTTCACTGCCATGCAGGACAGAGGTTCGTACACAAAGAAATACATCATATTCATTAGCAGCATATATAGGTCAGTGGTTCACATACATTGGACGTCATATTCTAATTGAAGACTAATCAGTGTGGGCTAGCAAATTTGGGATAAACAGCAAGAATGTCCTCAAGCACCCCTGATTCAATGTAGTAATTACAAAGTTCAAGATACAATAAGTCAGGTGGCCTGAAGTCTTTGACTGTCACATTCAATAATATAGTGTTCAAGTGTATGCTTTAAAGGTTTATCACAAAGTTTACATGCCGAGTGTTCTGGTATGGGTACAGCGTTACTAACTTGCCAGATGTGGCTGTATTCTAGCCTAATTCTGGCCACGACTACATCACATTGTCTGGTTCTGTCCTTATGCTGGCCATACCGGTACCTCTTGTCACAAAATTTTTCATATTTACTAATGCTACAACTGCTAGGTCTCTCTGCATTTCTCAATTCTTCTAGATCACAGTTCAAGATTCTGACTGGAATGTTTTTAAGTACAGGATTGGACAGGCCAAGGTCAACATTTTCTTTCTTACATGCCTCATTGGCCAGTCTATCAGCACGGTCATGATACCTAATTCCAACATGGGACGGAATCCACACAAATTCGATACGAGAGTTGTTCTCTTTTTGTAAAGAAAGTTTTTTGAGTAACTGTACAAATGAAATGAAATGCATTTAGGTTTATGCCAGGTAGGGGAACTACAAAAACAATACTGTATCTATAGCCAGGCACCTAGAAGGGAAATATATAGGTAAGAGAAGAATGTTTTTATGGAAGTCATTGTTTTGGAGGAAATAATGAAAATAATATACCAATTCCCTCGACCAATGACCAACAGCCAATGTCCATTTTGCTTCCCATCACAATGCATTGTGTGTGGCCAGTTTTAATTTATGGGTCCGACTAATTACCCAAATGTAGCCGCAATGAAGTCAAATAATGGTCCTACATGAATAAATCGACTGCCAATCACTTCTCGACTAGTATTTGGTGTCACGAAGTCACAAAAAATTGGTAAACTTAATTTAATCTGAGTTAATAGATCGAGTGCATGTACCTAACCTAACCTAACCTAACCTAACCTCGACTAGTATTTTGGGGTCGCGAAGTCACAAAAAATTGGTAAACTTAATTTAATCTGAGTTAATAGATCAAGTGCATGTACCTTACCTTACCTAACCTAACCTAACCTAACACAACTCAGATTAAATTAAGTTTACCAATTTTTTGTGACTTTATGACACCAAATAATAATCGACAAGTGATTCACAGCACAATTTACGCTTGTAGGACCATTATTTGACTTCATTGCAGCTACATTTGGGTAATTAGTCGGACCGTGTATTTATAAATTGTGTGCGACAGATGAGTCGTTGATTATTGTCGGTATTATTTTAGTTTCGGTCATCCGGGGAATCTTAGGAATTTAGGTTAGGTTAGGCTAGATCAAAATCATTCAAATCACATCAAAATTTGTCCTCATTATCAACTAGGAAATATGGCGCTAGGACTAAGATAGGTTAGGTAAGATAATTTAGTACATGTCGACACGAATTCATATTTTCATGGTGTAATTTGGTGTTTTGTTCAATTCTCAAATTAATTTTAGGAAGGAAAATGTGAGAAATGAAGAAAACACCAAAATACACCATATAAATGTTTGTTTGGAAATCGAGTAGGCAGTAATACAGAATAATTATCAAAATTAATATAGATTCTTTCCCATATCCTCTATCGATTATTAACCAATTATCTTATCCAATTAACGAAAATATCCCCCGAATTAGATATTGAAATTTACTACGAGATGAATGCTGTCTGGTAATCTTTTTTATGGAGTAAATAAATAATAACCTAGAGGAGTCCTGGAATTTTACTAAGTATTGAATGCTAGATGAACACTTTAACATTTGCACACATTCTATAACCTAGTATATTACAATGTACGTAATAAACTCACATGTGTACGCTTCTGAGCTAGAGCCATAGTGAACGTTCAGCTACCAACAGTGAACAACGCTAACAGAAGGAGCCCACTTATAAATATTTATTATAAGAATCAACTTCATCATATTATTTGGTTTATTATCATATATCATCGTATATATTATTCTATTTGGTATTAAACTCTTATATGCTGTAATATAACCACTGTAAAGACAAATTTCGAATTGGCTTAAGCTCCCTTTTAGGAGGCTGATTACCCTAATTAATAATGATAATATGTATTTACTTATAAGTAAATCAATTGAATACTGGGACTTATGCAAAGATCATACACATGCCTATAATTTAAATGCGTAAATGATGACAACAGCTCTACCTGTGACTTAGTGGACTACTCACAGAGAACGTATAGAGAACGAATTGGATAAACTAAAAGAAATTGTTACCCAACTAAAACTGGTCTAAATACTGAAACGTACGAGAAATTAAAACTCCTGCTGCATTCTGTTTCCTTACAACCACAATTCACTCATATATAAATATACATATGCAAATAAATCACTGTAGGGGTGAGTACAGACTGCGGGGGATGAAGGGTTTCTTTATAGGACCAACCCTACCACGAAAGCAGTCTGAGCACCAAAACACCTGACAAGGGTCGCATCCCTTCAGGTCTCGGCGGCCACACCATTACAATAAAGATATAAAGAACGAAACATAAGGTAGGTTAGTGGTAGAGTTATTAGGAGAAAGGTGAAAGCAAAGACTGTGAGCTGACTCCATCTATAAATTAAAATTACTGTGTAGCGTTTTTTTCTTTTTGCAGACAGAGCAAGACTTATTCCCACGTGGAGCTAATATGTATTCTAATGTCGCAGTCAGAAATATACAATAAAGTAAACATTGCAGACGACACACATGCTTCACAATGGCGACAGTGTCGTCATCTCACCATTGAGAAGACCAATTAAAATAGATATCAACATGTCGCTAACTTCCCCTCGCTAAACGCTTCGAGTACAACTTCTTTATTAGATATTCCTTGGTACTAGGCAAAAAATTCAGATATATTTATCAAGGATACCCAATTCTGGCACACTTTAATGTTAAATTTATTGCATGTAAAGATATAACTGCTTGAAAACATTAGTTTTCAAGAAATGATTGGAAAAAAATGAAATAAAGAATATTTACCGTAAGTCACAAAGAAATTCACCCTTTCGGAGAACACATTCGCCACTACTACCTTTTCATTAATTATTATGTACATCAATACAAATGACACGAAATATATAAGGTAACGGGTAATAATGGCCATTTTATGAAGAGTAGAATCAAGTGTAAACACCACATATTCACGTAAAGGTGTCGTCATTTAACGAACGATCTGGTGAGGTAGTTTGGCGGAGTAACACACAAGTCAAGGTTTACCTCCGTCCTCCTCAGTAATACGGCCGTTGAAGGAAGGAGCTGGAGGAGGACCGAGACTGAGGGAGTGAGTGCTTGAGAAATAGGAGGACAATGCATTTTATGGACCTTCCTCAGGGGAATCTTGCGGGCTTGTGATGTCACGTTTTATAAACTCGACATTGAATGGTTGATAGATGACACCTTCTGAAGCTGTTTAATGGAGTCGGTGATGCAGAGGACAGGAAGACTGCCTGTGTCGGTAATGGTTTTCCCGCCCAAATTTGATGGCGAGATGTGACAGAACATTGCCATTGTTACAGCAAATTGTGAGTGTATATTTGCGAGCTTTTGCATAGAGATGTTGGTATATCTTTGTGAGCTATTGTATGATAATGAGATGGAAAATATTGAGTAATTCTGTCTCATTTATATGGTACTAGCAGAACTTGCCTTGTCTTCCATTGTCCTTTCCCACAAAATTTTCAAATTACCAAAAATTTAATGTTTCTAGTGTTAAGAATGCACACATTTTGTTTGTTTAATGTTTTTATGAGTTTCAATGAGTGAATTAGGGAGAAATTTGTTTTTGTACTTTTTGACGAGAAATTATAATTCAGTCAACGTTGGTTTTCTGAATCCTAGTCACAAGACCAACATTTCATTATATAAAAAGTGTAGAAATCCCGATTGAACTATCTTGTTAGAAATGCAGCCTTTTCTCCACTGCTGCAGCGCTGACCCGGCTCGTAAGCTGACAAGTGGTGAAAATGATAAATTACCCATGTCGACACGTTCTGGTGGTTTGTAAATATTCCAGTGATGCGTGGAGAGGGTTTCTGTGTACTGTGTTATATTTGTACGAGGCACAACGTATAAATCACCAAATGTATAAACATTATACATATTATGGTGCAGATGATCAATACTTACATATATACAGTTGGTTCCACTCCCGCGTGTACTACTTAGCGTTGCCAATCCTGTCCCCCTGAGGTGTGAACGGTGAACCTTGAACTTTTGAAGAGTGAATTCGACGCATTCGGTAGTGAGCGGGAGGGGAAGGGTGTCTCTGGGTAGGTGTCTTTCTGTGGGAGGGACGGGGAACTGAATTACGCTTTGACTATATCAATGGGGTTTCCTCGGTAGCAGAATCGTCTAGCGCTAGCCAGATGAAAATACTAAAGTTGATAATAGGTTGACAGGGGATGACTTCATGATCTAGGTAAGGTGTTCCTTGGCGAGACCCATGGTGGTGAACCTGGTGGTCTCGGGTCGACCCAGTTTTGTATATTCTATATACTGTACATATCACCAAGTCTTTATTTATGTTAACGGTTTAGTTTATAAGAAAAGCAAGAAACCTTTGTATTATCTTTCAAGGGCCAAGAGTGGGGGAGGAATACCGAGGGGTGGATCATGGTTAAATCACCGTCTAGGCTTTCCGGGTCATAGCTTGGGTTGTTAAGACTTCGATTAGCCATAAGTCACGTTAATGCATTACTGTTTATCACGGCACACTATTCTCGAATTCTGTCTTGCAGCTCTCTTTGACTTCGTGGTAACAGTTACAAGTAAATAAGTGATGGACAAGAAGTCGTTTGTCTGAGAGACTGGCTTAATGCCGAGAGCTAATACAAGAACCTTGCTGTACGATCTGTTTAATTGTGAATTTTCCTTTAATCATTAACATCTCACTTTTTTTTTACTGGGATTAGCCCACCCGGGCACGGGTCACTGACCCACATCGGGACCTGGGGGGCGAAAATGTAATAATAATAAAAATAATAATAATAATAATAATAATGAAATAATACTGATAACAATAATTAATAATAATAATAATAATAATCACTGCAATAATAATAATAATAATAATAATAATAATAATAATAATAATAATAATTTTAATAATAATAATTTTAATAATAATAATTATAATAATAATAAATAAATACAAAAATTTAAAAAAATCAAGAGTGAGAAACAATATATGTATGTTGTGTTGTCAATAGTAAGAGAAACAATTGAGACCCTGCAATTGTGTGCAAATGAGGCAGAAAGTCAGATCAGCAACCTGGGATTTGGTCACAATTTTCGTGATGCCATATGGCAGCAGGGTCTCCCATTAGACAACACATTATGCTTCCAATATCTTCCCAGGCGGTAGTACCTCCCTGTTTGGTAGCTGCCTACTACCTACTTGCAGTCAGATGCTAAGAATCACAAAAAACGTTGTAGACTGTTTGATAAGTTATTTATTTTAAATAAACAAGTTTTGTTTGTTCAATTTGATACCTGTGTGTTGCTTTATTTTGATAGGCCCTCTTCACAATATTTCAAATATGTCGTAGACTGTACCATGGACCCCAGGGCTGATATTAGTCCCCTATACTCCTGTTGCTGGAGAAGGATCAAATTTAAGTACACACTCCTCACTACCTCCGTGGCTGCCTTGCCTTGATTCGCTTTCTTTCTTCCTCCACAAATTTCATGACATCTTGACAATCCCAAGTTTGCCACGTAAAAAAATTGAATCAGGAGCACCGACGCTTCGTGTGTATATTAAGTCATCTAAGATACTATATATATATATATATATATATATATATATATATATATATATATATATATATATATATATATATATATATATATATATATATATATATATATATATATATATATAGAACCGATCCCAAGTCCACCCATGACCATAAGAATCTCTTAGTATTACCATTTCACAAAAATTTATCTCAAATTCCTTTACAACTAAAAACCTGGAACGTCAATGTGGCATTTAAAAACTCATGCACTGTAAACAAATGTTAATCAAGAACTCCCCCAACAATGCAGGCGGCTGCATTTACAAGGTTCCTTGCAAGGAATGTAATATGTTTTACTTAGGCCAGACAGGTAAAGATCTTGTAACTAGACTTAAACAACATAAATATAGTGTTAGGACAGGCCAGGAATCCAATGCTCTGTTTGTTCATTTGAGGGATAATAAGCATTGCATTGACTGGGATAATGCCTCCTCAATATTACCTTGTAATTCAATTGACAGTAGGAACATTATAGAATCCAGTCTCATTAAACATACCGAATCCGTCAACATGAATTTGAGTAATGGTATGTACAAACTGGATAATTTCGTAATTAAGAAGATTTGTAACCAGGTGAGAAGGTTGGGTCATCTTACCCTCTGACCTGACTACCGACTGCTGCTGCCGTGATTATGAAGATTAGTAGAGTCACTACCTAGTGACCGGAACACTGTGGACACTCACTGTCATAAGAACATAAGAACATAAGAATGGAGGAAACTGCAGCGGGCCTATTGGCCCATACTGGGCAGTCCTGTTTACACTCAACCCCTATTGCTCATATGAGCATCCAACCTATGTTTGAAGCAATTCAGCGTATTCCAGTTAATGATGATATTTGGTAACTTGTTCCATTCATCCACTACTCTGTTTCCAAACCAGTGTTTACCTATTTCACCCCTAAATCTAAATTTGTCTAATTTAAAACCATTGTTACGAGTTCTCTCCTGGTTGGATAGTTTGAGTACCTTTGTAATGTCCCCTTTGTTTAGCCCTGCCTTCCACTTATACACCTCTATCAGGTCGCCCTTCGCTCTACGTCTCTCAAGGGAGTGCAAATTAAGATGCTT